TTCTCTTTATCAAATCTTACGGTACGTACGGAAAGGTAAATAAATTTGGAAGCCATCAGTAATAATAACATTCCGTTTGGTGCTAAGCTGCGCTAGATTAAGAAAGACTAAGTGCGGGTTGTGCTTAATATGCCGGAAATGGGGTAGTTAACCCTAATTGCGAAATTAGACTCATTAACATAGATGAGTGGATGTATTTAATGGTGAATAAATATCAAAAACTGAATAAATCAAACAAAAACGACCATTTTAGACATTTTACCGATCCAATTAAAAAGTCACAGAAATTTGAATTCAACACTAACAGAAAAGATGGCAGCAGTGCACGTAACCTGTAATTTGCTTTCGGCGGTAAGCTTCAACTCGGGTCATCATTTCATACCGGTCCTGATTGAAGGATGTGCCAAATGTTTGTTAATGATCGTATTGATTAACATCGACAACGACACCATAACAGCTTGATATTCGGGATCAGAATTTAGTCCGAGGATAATACTGGTTGGAGCTTACACAATTTCATACAGCGAGGTCTGGCAATGTGATTTTTTTTTGTCTTCCTATCCTTATGCACTAGGTAGTGTGACGTCACATTTGCAGAATGATCCAGCTAACCTCCAATCGAAGTGGAGTATCCTATCCCCTTTCCAGACCATCTCAATCATTTCTTTTCAGCCTTCAGTTTGGTGTCCTCTCACATCATCATTCTAAACCAGCTCTCTCTAATCCCGAAAAAGGCACGCTTCGCTGGTAGACCTCTCCTCTGTTCCGATTATTCTGTTCTCTCATTCTCACCCCTCGTTCATCTTGTACTGGAACCAGCTGGCTGGCATGCCGCCATGTTATTGAAACCAACATCTGAAACGTCACAATTCCAGTGTGAACTGCAAAAATGGCGTGACTGAATTGTCTTATTTTTATCAAATGAAATTATTTTCCCTTTTATGCCATATAAATGGTTGACTTCGTGGAAGAAAATCAGAAAATAATATTTTATGAGTCCTAAGTTTATTTTTCATAAAATGTAAGCAAAAATATTAAATATTATCACGCCTTTTTTGAAATTTTGGCTTGAATCTTCTATTTGTTTACAAATTATGAGCTGTCAGTGGGGCCCGCAATTCGCGGGTCCGCAGCGATGTTAGCTCTTTTCAAGGCAAGGCAAACAAGATAGGGATGCCAGCTAGCTGACTGGAACCGATTTCCGAAGTTTGGCTTTGAACTTCGGCGTGTGCAGATTAGCATTTCGATTTTCGTGCACTTATGAGCTTTCTTTACATACACACTAATGTGCGCATACCCTTTTTCATAATTACTAACCCAATCTTTTTGGATTTACCTTGTACCCGCTTTGGTAAGTTTACTCTTTCTTACTAATAACACTTATACCTACTACAACTTGCACTTCCAATCAATTTTACCAATATATTTAGAAAATGATGATCGAAGAATATTTCAAAAAGAAGAAGCAGACAAATTATTTACCTAATTTAAGGTTCTACACCTTAAGGGGTTCAAAATACCTCCGTAACCCTAGTACTTGTAAGTTACGAGAAGAAGTTGTAAAGTATGCGTTTGAATTATACAACATGCTTTCAGAGCGCCAAAATCAGTGATTTTACGATTCGACAGCATTCACTCTGAGTGAACGCTCAAGAATCATAAAATCGCTGATTGCCAAACACATACATTACAGCCTTTTTTTGTAACTTACAAGTACAAAATATCATTATAACCGAGATTATATTTAACATCTCATTAACATTAACATTTAGAAAGGGAACCAATTCAAGATATTGAAGACCAACAAATGAAAAAGGACTTAAATTTTATAAACAAAAATAAGATAATCCATTCCTTGCCAACCGAACGCAACTAAAAACATCATGAAATAGCGAAAACTTTCCCCAAACCAATTATATGTACTGTTGTTTTCCGTAGGCGAGCTTTGAATCGAGAGAAAAGTGTTTCCGGAATTTCGGTCGCAAAACCTGATTTGGTCTTTTCTGTTGTCGGTCGTGATATATTCGATTGGTTCCGCTATTCGACAGCTCAATTGGTTCCCGAAATTCCCTCCGCCAGATTGAAAATATAGCGACCGTAGTATGAACGTGGTATATTTACAGACGGTAAAGTAAAACGCTGGCCAGACTGAGCAGTTATAACATGTTATACTTCTTTCTTCTTCTACGCATTTCAAGCTTATTGAATATCGCATATTAGCTTATTGCGTGCGCTCAACTTAGTGTTCTAGATGCACTTCCACAATTATTAATTGAGAGCTTTCGATTCCTGTACAATTTTTGCATTAGTATTATTATATAATAATTGTGTGGCAAGTACAATTATACCCTATGCCCAGGGAAGTCGAGAAATTTTCCAACCCGAAAAATTTCTAAACCAGACCGGGAATCGAACCCAGCCACTTCCAGCATAGTCATGCTTTGTAGCTGCGCCTTTACCGACTGAGCTAAGGGAGGCCCCAACATTTTATAACGGTTGTCAAATAATTACAACACAGAAACTACCATCAACATAGCGCTATAATATGTTATAACTCTGTAGCTTTGTATGCCGTCTGTAGGTATAATGCTATATAATGCTGTTCAGACTATTGGCAAAACAACGTTGGCACTCGTGGAGAATAGAAGAACTATGAGAGTGATGATGGTTTCGAAATTTTACACGGTGAGGTATACGAGTGCAATCTTTAAATGCTTTTATTTTGCAAATGGAGCATTTTATTTAAATCTGGTTAATGCTACGCTAGTAGAAAACTTAAGGACTACACTTAATTGGCAAATCAAAGTTGGCTCTCGTGAAGAATAGAAGAACTATGAAAGTGATGATGGTTTCAAAATTTTCCACGGGGAAGTATACGAGTGCAATCTTAAAATGCTTTTATTTTGTGAATGGAGCATTTTATTTAAATCTGGTTAGTGCTACGTTAGTAGAACACTTCAGGACTACTCAATAGACATATAATACAGAAAACATAATTTCTTTTCAGATTTTTAGGTGTAAACATAGACTTCCGCTTTTCTACCACTGTAGCAGTAACCAGATTTAAATAAAATGCTCCATTTTCAAAATAAAAGCATTTTAAGATTGCACTCGTATACTTCCCCGTGGAAAATTTTGAAACCATCATCACTTTCATAGTTCTTCTATTCTCCACGAGTGCCAACTTTGATTTGCCAATAGGCCTTTTTAATAGAAACTGAACGATCGATTCAACCTCTGGTGGTGAATAGGAGAACGTCAAAAAGAGTGTTGTGAGCATACATTTTTGCCTTGAGACATAGGAAGCGGAACACTTTTTTACTTTTTCTGATAAATTAATTCATCTGAGATGCTGCAAAACTTAATGTACAGTTGAAAAATTTAATTCTGTCACGTTTTGGATTATTTTTGTTGAGAAAAATGAAAAATTATAGCGAATTCGTTTATTATTCAGTTCCAACCTGGATCGGGTATCAAAATTAGGTCTGCTTGTTTTCTGACAAACGTCAGTTTGCTCGTTTGTTTTTTAAAACCTAGCTCAGGTTGAGGTTCGCACTGACAAAAAGTTCGGTTTCACACTGGGTTGGAAATGGTGTTAACCCCGATAATAAACGAATTCGCTATTAGAAAAGTGCCTTAGTGGTTATGATCTTCCGGATTTCTTGTGTGTGAATAGTTAAGGAGCAAATCAGTTCAGATTTGTGGAAAACCGTACAATAACACAATTGCCGATGGAAATTGGCAAGGTTTTGAATGAAAAATGCAGTTATTTGCGTTGGGGAAAATACTTATTCTGATGTTAACAAACGGTTTGGTTGACGTTTCTTCTCGAACTCGCGTGGCGCACTCTACGTTGGTGGTGCATTCAAAAGGCGTATAGACATATAATATAGAAAAAATAATTTCTTTTCAGATTTTTATGTGCATACATAGATTTCAACTTTTCTACAACTGTAGCAGCAACCAGATTTAAATAAAATGCTCCATTTGCAAAATAAAAGCATTTTAAGATTGCACTCGTATACCTCCCCGTGGAAAATTCTGAAACCATCATCACTTTCATAGTTCTTCTATTCTCCACGAGTGCCAACTTTGATTTGGCAAATCAAAGTTGGCACTCGTGGAGAATAGATGAACTATGAAAGTGATGATGGTTTCAAAATTTTACACGGTGAGGTATACGAGTTCAATCTTAAAATGCCTTTATTTTGCAAATGGAGCATTTTATTTAAATCTGGTTAGTGCTACGTTAGTAGAAAACTTAAGGACTACTCAATAGATATATAATATAGAAAAAATAATTTCTTTTCAGATTTTTAGGTGTATGCATAGATTTCAGTTTTTCTACAACTGTAGCAACAACAAGATTTAAATTCAATGCACAGTTTTCAAAATAAAAGCATTTTAAGATTGCACTCGTATACCTGTCCGTGGAAAATTTTGAAACCATCATCACTTTCATAGTTCGTCTATTCCACGAGTGGCAACTTTGATTTGCCAATTGTTTACGTCTGATGTTTTTGTTTTGATTTTGGTCGTGGTATGTCAACAAATCGGCCCGCTGGTAAACGTCAAAATAGATAAACAGAAGAAAAAAAACAGCTGACTCGAAACGTCTCGTAAAATGCCTTATTACACCTTTGCAACATGTTACAACTCTGTAGTCTGAACAAGACTACAAGGGTGAATATCAGTGCCAACATTTCAAAGGGGCGTAATTGCTTTTGTAAACAATGGCTTTAGCTATCAATTTCTCGCAAATAAAAGTCCATCCCTCCAAATTAACAATGCTAGCTGGTAAAGGAAACATTCCTCTACCTGCTGCTGTAACTAATCTTCATGAGTAAGTTTTAATTCACGAGAAATCGACGGCTAAAGTCATTGTTTATAAATGCAATTACGCCCCTTTGAAATGTTGACACTAATATATTGAGATAGAGCTGGAATTAGGGCGTAACAGCTTTTGAAAATAATTAAATATTATACATAATATCATGTACCTCATTACTAGCGGCTTTCTTGACGATTGAATGTTGTTGAAGTGGGCCCCTATTGCATTGACCAGTACATCCTGAACGATGTGTTGACCATACAAATGATCTCGTAGTAACAACCTCAGATCTGTAAAACCAAAACCGATATAATTATACAGGTAGGATATATTGTAATGTCCAAATTACCTCCCACGTCTGCTTTAAGATATGGTTTTCTGCAGCACTCGGTAAATTTGCAGTATGTATTATCTACAACAAAATCACGCTTCCACAAACCCAATCCGGCTCCTATTGCAGCAACTGTTAAACTTACTGGTTCAAATGCTTGACACCACAAATGTAGGAAAGCCGACAATATCCACCCAACGCAGAGTTTAGAAAACAACATATTGTCTTACTTATTTAAGAATAAAATTTAATAGTAGGTATTTAATATTAACCGAACAAGACCGCGAATAGATCAGTGCACGAAGATTTGCCGCACTCTTCCCTCTCCCGTAAATTTTGACAGTTTTGGGTGGTTTGTTTTGGCTCCCATTCGTTGCCATCTCTTTTACTCACAGACAAAATGATAGGAAGCAAAAAGTGAGGTTAGGGACCGTGCACTGATCTATACCCAATTTTGCCAGGGTTCCACATTCATTTTACAAAAGTAAACAAAAAGTTGACGTACAGTACGAGTACACTGAACCAAAATGATCAATAAAAAAAAATGACGTAAGATACACGCTATTTTGAGTCTACCCAGTTACTGAGTAGATTCAACTCATTCTTGTGTCAAATATGAGGCCGTTCGCAATGCTGTTGTATTTTATACGGACTGTTTCAATTTGAAACTAGAACAGAAACGCACCTCTCGCAATGCTGAGTTGCAGTTTCATTATTCGAGCACTATTTTGCACCAGATTTGCAACTGCTCGACTATTCTGTTTTATTTCTGAGCGAGTTTGAAACACGATTGGAACTCTGTTTCAAATTTCTTTGGATGTGTTAGAGATGTTTCGAGAGCTTCACAAATAAAAACGGAGAATTTCATAGAGAACAGTAAAGTTTATGGAACTTGATGATTACAAACATCTTTTAGAACTGTGCGTTGCGCTGATCGTGTTGCAGTTTAATTTTTGACAGTTTCAAATTATAGAATTGACGAGTAGTTTAAAACAATTTTGAAACTCAGCATTGCGAACGGCCTCAAAATCTGAGTATACTCTACACGCTTATTCTGGTAAACTTAAAATTGAGTCGAATGTACTCATCTCAGCGGCAAGAAGGGCTACTCAAAATTGAGTAGCCTTATGTTGACTCACTTTTGAGTAAACGACGTTCTCACGTGGACTGATTCAAATCCACTCAGCGATATTTTCAGTTGGGGGGCGGGGGGGGGGGTTTGTTTTGATTTTATTTAAGGAATAATTCCAATTATTGAAAATTGTCTGCTCTGGATTCATTCTACCGGAGCAGAAAATGGTTTAACACCATTGCCCTAAGCAATTTCTACTTACCTGAAGGAATTTCCGCCCGTTTTGAGTGAAACATTCACCCGTTTTCTAGGACGTTTCCTCCAACATGGTTGACATTTTTTCTAAGTCCAGGATTTTGCCTCGGATTTTGCAGACTGAGTGGCTTTTACTCAGTTTGACATTTCTCGTTTACTCAGTTTTTGACAACTCGATACATCGGACGAAAGTGAGTACGATCGACTGAGTAAACTGAAGTTAACGTGTATAGATATGTTTTATTTTGGTGAGTAGAACCCAACCAGATTCTGAGTAAATGGTCCAAATAAAAATTTCCAGATATTCAAAATGGTGCAAGCTCGAACACAAGTTAGTTGGTAGCGAAGTTGGTAAGTATACATAAAGTATTATCAGTTTTGATACCCTCTAAATTCATATTTTTTTCAGTCAGCTTTTCACTAGCGTTTTCCAAGTCATCCCAACGAACTTTGAACCTGCTTGAAGATGGCCGATTGCATTTTCTTGTTGGACGACGTTGCTGCCTTGGTTGCTACATAGACACCCTCAATGCCTGGAGAAAGCAGTTTTCTGTGGTGCTGTCTAGAGTCGGTGTATAATGAGTCACGCCAAGAGAAAAACAGTTGAACTCGCATCACGGTTTCCGAAGGATTCCCTTTCTTTTCACTTGGCAACAGAGGACTTCTACATCAACTTTAAATGACTTCTAGCGAGAACCAAAAATAACGGCTGTAGTGAATCATAATATCAGTGATTTTGTCAAATTATCTTATCAAAAATAGTAGAAATTCTCATTACTGATCAAAACCAAACGTATCCCATGACAATTTAATGCTCGCTGCGTGTTTATGATGATTTCTTCAATTTTATTTTATATTTCATTGCAATACCTTTCGTAGACCTTTCATAGCATCGTAATGTTTATTTACTTTGCACGATAGAAAGCCGATTTGACAGTTCAATAGGTAGACTTGGCTTCACTCTTGGCGTGACTCATTATACACCGACTCTAGTGCGGTCTTGCTTGATGGACTTTAGGATAGCTACTTACTACACGGATAGAAATCTCCTTATACTTTTTGGCAAATTTCTATTGCTGATTATTCATAAAATGTATAAGTCAACTAAGCAGACGCCTTGCAAAAAGTTAATGAAGATTATGTGTCAAATGAAATGTATAAGCGGTCACACATACCTTTTATGCATTCTTATAGGACCTATGTGGTTTGTCTTATGGAATGTATAAGGCTGATGTTTTGGCAAAAATGTATAAGTGAAACACATAGATAAAATAATTGATTTTCGTGTAGTACTTGTTCTAATACCCGTACTTCAGGATGATCTATTTGTAGATTATGTACAGAAGGTGATATGTTTCAGGGAACTTCCAAGGGTTTCAGGAAACCTTTTATCTATTTAATTCGCACAATTTTAGTTTTTAACTGATGTACTGAATTTTATACATAAATTATGTCAAATTGTTTCAATCATAAACACACTTAATCTAGCTCGGTAAAATCTCCAACAGCCGATTACCTCTGCATTTACTTTTGCTGATATCTCTGCACAATATCAGTTTGTTAGCTGATATCTCAGCAAAATGTTATTTGTTAGCTGAGTCTCGGCAATTGTTTTACTGAATCTCAGCAGAATAAATTGCAGAACTACTCGGCTGTTGGAATCTCGGCGAAAAAATTTAAGTGTGAACATTACTCATCTTTAAATAATTGTAAGCATTGATGAAAATTTAATTTTTATAAAAATGAGTAACGTTTACCCAGTTATCAAACGTCAATATCTGAGTCAACTTACTCAGTTTCCGCCGCAGGCACGTTTACCCAGATTTGAGTTAATGTAGGTTTACTCATTTTTGAGTAACTTCCTTTTTGGCTGAGCTGAGTGATTTTCAACTAAAAAATGAGAAGCCTCAAAATAGCGTGTAGATTCCATACACTAATAAAATTCCACACATTTTAATTGACGAATTTCCATGTGAAATTCCACATGATTTTCATGTGACCACACATAAACAGAATCCACCCAGAAGCACACATGAAATTTATGAGTCGAATGAATAGTATGTGTCGTTACACATGGCTTTTATGTGTACACATATTAAGTATGTGTCCGACACATAAATATCATTTGTTGATAACATTGCAAAAATTCATGTGTGGGATACATAAAAACGATCTTTGGAATTTTATCAGTGTAGATAAGCGGAGGCACAAAAAGTTGTTTTTGCAACCATGAAAAATAAATGATCTTACTTGCATCCGTGAAAAAAGTTCATGCCATCATGCTCTCAACTTAGTCTTCTAGATGCACTTCCATAGTTATTAATTGAGAGCTTTCGATGCCTGTACCATTTTTGCATTGGTATAATTGTGTGGCAAGTCCAATCATACTTCTATGCCCAGGGAAGTCGAGAAATTTTCCAACCCGAAAAATTCCTATATCGGACCGGGAATTGAACCCAGCCACCTCCAGCATGGTCTTGCTTTGTAGCTGCGCCTTTACCGACTGAGCTAAGGGAGGCCCCAGAGTCACTTGGTTGGAAGAATTTACACTCGTTCGGCAATCTGTTTGTAGATAAGGATAGGTATTTTGTTTCGGTGGTGCTCGGCATGCTTGACATACACAGTTGTACTCACCAACTGCTCATTTGCTAATAACTTTGCACACAGTTGACGTAACATAGTTCTTTTTGAAGCAGTAGTTAGAATAGAGTTTAAGCTTGTTATAGATACGTAAAAACAAGTAGATTTTAATTCTAGTAATAAACTGTATTTGTTTTTGTGTTGTAAAAATGAAGTGAGAAATGCTCGCTGCACATCTCGTACTTTAAGTGTGAAAAATCATTGGCGTTAATTCAAATGCTAAGATTTACCTAGTCTTTGCATATCTATAGTAAACTAAGATCCTAATCTATCAATTACTTTAAAGATGATTTCCCATGCTTGGTGGTGAAAGAGTGTTCGAGAAAGGGATTGAAAGCCAAAATGAGGATTCGTTTAACTAGAAAATCGACGTTACTTATATTGAAAGCGATCAGCAAAGTAACGACGAGAAAACCCACAGCCAGCCTTTCCTTCTAAACGTGCTTCTTTTTCATTTTCGTTTCTTGCTGATAGTCTAGGTAGGCGTTATATAAATGAAGCGTTGAACATGTTTGTGAAACTCGAGTTCATTTTAGAGCTTCGAAATGTAGAGCCCTGACCCTATGTCAATATCATTATTTGTAACACAGATAAACAGACATAACGCTTGCATGTTTTTCATCGAACACGCATTTAACGATCAATTTAAATGTTTGTTAGTTGGTAGCGTCACCACCTATGGCGCACATAGTCAATTTGCGTTTGACGTTTACACACTACCGACATATGTTAGGGTAGTGCCCATGACAGTGTATTCAAAAGATGGCGGTAGTGTTTTAGTGGGGATGATTTATAATGAAAAGTATACAATGAGTTATGTATGTGTGTCTGTGGTTGAAATATAATCTTCTCGCTTATGTGATATATATGTATATGTATGTATAAACAATTAAATATCAAAAACATTATATTTACCATTGCATTTTATTAGAACATTCTAAGAAACATTATATCAAGAACATACATAACAGCTACCACGGATTAAGCCACTTGAGGCGTGAATCCTTTCGCAACGTTTCTCCGTCCATCCTTTCTTCAAGCTGGGTGAACTGTACAGCAGCTTCCAAACGATCGTCACGGGCCGTACGCGCCGGTATTTCTTTTACCACAACACAATCGCCATTTTCTTTCAGGAAGGTGTAGTTGACGTCTGCCTCCGTTGGTTCCCCATGAGGAAACCGGATCGGGAGAACCTCAACTAAGTGCTTTATCTTCCATAGTCGGGCGTTGTTCTCGGGGATATTTTTAACGACTGCTACAGCGTTAGACTATAATACAGAAATTTTAAAATTTTAATTCTTTAGCAAACCAACTGGGTAGGATAGGGTAGGCTTATATATCTAGCAACATGAGGAAATCAAATAAATTAAAGGCCCGTTCAAATATTATGTAATACCTCCATCCCCTCGTCAAGCACTTTTCCTATACTTAATAGATGGTATTTAACGCAGTGCTAGTCTACCCCGATATTTTCTTGTGTTACGTAATATTTGAATGGACCCTAATGTAAGCTGTCAGTTTTAAACTCACCATTACTGACATGACACATCCTTCCTATGGGCAAAAAGTTATTTCAAAAATTCAAATCTTTGTTTTTTTTTCTTGATTTGTTTTCCGTGCTGAGCACCAATGCTACCGACGCCAGAGAGGCAGCTCCCACGCCATTCCATAGCAAAACGATATAGTGGTTCTCAGAATTTCGTAACAATTGGCAGTTTTGTTCCTTATCGAAAAATATTAGACCCGTATTTTTTTATTTTCTCATTAGGATGACCATTTTCCTGTTAGGATGGTCCAAAAAATCGATTTTTTTCTATTTTTTTTTTTCCAAAAATGGCATTTTTTTTTAAATTATAACTTTTAAACCATTGAACCGATTTGAATGATCAAAATATCAGCCCATTGTCTACAAACCATGAAACCATGAAAAACAAATACAATCAAAATTTTTCGATACAAAACTCCAATATTCAAAAAAGTTTATATTTTTTCTGAAAAGTTTTTTTTAATAACCTTTCATTTGATATTTTGATCATTCAAATCGGTTCAATGGTTTAAAAGTTATGTTTTAAAAAAAAATGCCATTTTTGGAAAAAATAGAAAAAAATCGATTTTTTGGACCACCCTAACAGGAAAATGGTTCGATAAGGAACAAAACTGCCAATTGTTACGAAATTCTGAGAACCACTATATCGTTTTGCTATGGAATGGCTGTATGTATATATATATGTATTTCATGAAAATTGGTATAGTTCTTCCTTATCAAAAAATATTAAACTCGTATTTTTTTATTCCGCCATTAGGGTGACCATTTTCGTGTTAGGGTGGTCCGAAAAATCTATTTTTTTCAAAAATGCCTTTTTTCAAAAATTCATCACTTCTGGAACTCTTGACCGATTTCTAGTATTTTTAATTGAAAGATCATTTAATTTTACATATAAAAATAAAAATCAAAAATAAATCAGATTGACCGCCCACGGTTGCTGCTCTGTTATTACCAGATCAGCTGCAATTACACAGAGAACCAACAGATGATGTTTGGGACTAACATTCATCCTCAATGTGTAAGAACTGAAGATCTAATATTTAGCAATACCAGCGCCGGCCGTGTCCGAATGCAGGTCAACTAGGGAATGGGAAGGAATGTGTTGACGTGGTACTCGCTGTGAAGGAAACCGAGAAATCCTCTGCGCTTCCACGAGAAATCACTGGGATGTTGGATGTGGGGAAAGGTTGCACGCACACGCAGGGATCGTTTTTTGGTAGAGCGATTATAATACACAAACACACACACACACACACACACACGCGCGCGCGCACTCACTCATCCAATTTCTATTTTTAGATCAGGAACCACACTGTGGTAAGTGATGCGATCGGTGTTAAAGAAGAATTTGTTTTCATTAAAATCTAGTGGGTATAGAATAAGGCAAAGTGAAAAATTGCAAGGAAGGGGACGGGCCTGGGATTGAACTCCCGACCTTCTGCTCCGTAAGCAGAAACGGTAACCACTGAGCTACCGAGCCTCGTCAATGAAAGATCATTTAATTTTACATAACATATAAAAAAAATTTGCGATGTCATTTTTCCGCAATATATACACCACACGTGCATGGAAACGATGAAGACGCAAGGTAGTTCACAATGCGTCTCCATCGAGTCACAGCAGCTATGACTAACGAAATCTATGAGTAACTTACAAGCTGGGTGCAACATTCAGTTCAGCCAGTGGGCTGTCCATAAACCAAGTTTTAAACATTGCAGATCCTATCTTTCCCCTCGTATACTAAAATTTTATGGCGTTTCGTTTCAATACTCCTCCCATAGGGCTCTTTCCATGACAAGTTGCAAAAAAATTCTACACGGCAGCAGTGCCAAAATCTTTTTGCATGTTGCATCAGTACCTACGAGTCCAAGCTGTAACTCATAGGTATATCACTCGTTCGTAGGCAATGACTTTTACATAAGCTCCAGCCCAATAGGCTTCGTGGTGTTAGTGACATTTGGAAATGTTTGATGGTGTTTGTATTTATTCGCAATGTTCATCTATTTACCTGAAACAGCTGTTTGTTGTGACGGCATTGCTTACGAACGACTGATATACAATGTGAGTTACAGCTTAGACTCGTAGGTATATCACTCACTCGTAGGTACGATATAATGCTTCCCATAAAACAAGGAATGTTATGAAAGAAATTATCAGTTAGAAAACAAAGTTTCCTACTAGAACAGTTGAATCGAAGAATATCTAAAAATGAAACGTAAGTGTTCAATGTGTGGTGTTTGGATGTTGAGTTCATGTGCCAGAAAAATCAACAATAAATTGTACGATTAAGCAGTGAAAAAAAAAGATTAAAATAGATGAGAGTAGCTCCTTTATTTGTCAACGTTGCTACCACAAACTATATGAACCCAATGATGCCGTGACCGAAGAAGCCGTTGCAGGACCATTCAGAATCGCTGCTTCAGGTACGTTATTTGAAAATTCATGTGATTATTCTTTATATTTCAATTATTATCTTCAAACTACTAAGGCTGTGAACCATTTGCCGAGTTAAATTTAACTCGTGGTTAAAAGTGACATTTCAAAAGTTATTTTCTATGTTCGACTGGTTTTCGAGAAGAACTTAGCCAAGGTTGTCAAAATTTAACTTTTTGTCTGTCAGAAGTAACCACGCTCGGATAGCAGGGTTAATCGATAACTTTTCATCTGTCAAATTTTAAATAAAAGTTAAAATAATCCACCAAATGGTTCAGAGCTTAACTTAAACTATTTTTTTGCAATCATTTTTCAGAGTCCATCAAAGCAACCAGTATTGAATCGATTGCCGTTGCGGGACCGTCCAGAATGGTTCCTTTTCCCTGCCAAGGTAAATAATAATAAAAAAATCATTTGTATGTTTTTTTCTTCTAATAATCAATCATTTTTTATATTTATTTTCAGAGTCAGTGGAAACAACCAGTTCTGAATCGATCGTTACCACCTACAACGCACCTTTGTCAGACGAAAATGAATTCCTTATACAACATAAGGATAAATATAAAGAAACAAGAGACACCCTAATAAAAAATTACCATAACCGAATGACAACCCAAATGATTGAACTATTCTACATATGGTTCGGATGATACCCGGAATACGTCGTTAAGCAAAATAACCATAACAATTTTATTAGGGCAGCAATGCGCGATACAGGATTTTAACCACACTTCCCAAAAGTTGGTCTACATATAGAATTATGAAGGAGTTCAATGTTTCCCAACATATGGCCAACCAAGCAAAAGCACTGTAGCAAGGAATAATGTCGGTGCCTGTAAAGAGGTTAAGCAGAGCTTCATTAGGAGAACAAACGATAATGCTTGTTCTTGATTTTTACAATAGTGACGATATAAGTCGTGTTTATCTACAATAGTGACGATATAAGCATAGAGGTAACTCTAAGACCAGAAGGTCCCGAAGAAACGTGCTCAACTTTTTGGCTCAGCTCTGGTACTCTCTTCGGTCCCAAGCTAATCGGTTCACCCCTCGAAACATAGGAAAATCCACTAACCCCTCATGTTATCGGTCAAACTTTCATAGCGAATCAAAACAAACATAGTGCAGTACTAGAATGTCGAGCAGAATGGGGTAAGTAAATTGATTTGCTTGGGACCAATAGGCTAGTCAAGTAGTGAGCCAATTTAAAATCGTTAGTTTCGTATTGATTGTTGATATAAGTCCGGGGAAAAGAGATTATTTAATATCTAAAAATGATGAAGGCGGAATCTACGTACAAAGAAGATTAGTTCTGTGTAACTTGCAGGAGGCGTACTCCATCTTTAAAAATACATATCCTGATATTAAAATAGGATTTTCCATGTTCGCCAGTAACCGTCCGAAACAATGCATTTTGGCAGGGACAAGTGGCACGCATACCGTATGCGTTTGTATATATCATCAGAACGTTAAACTTATTTTTAAAACACTACAAAGCAGACAATCACTCCCAGATGGTGTTGATTCCTATCACGATTTGTTTACAAAAATAATTTGTCAAAATCCAAGTGAACAATGCTGGCTGCAGAGTGGTGCCGGTGATGTAATGGTAAGCGTGATTACCTCTCACCCCAGCAGGCCTGGGTTCAGTCCCAGTCGGCGCTGCCGGGATGTTCTGAGGCACAACATCTCTGATCACGCCTTCCTTCGGAAGGGAAGTAAAGCCGTTGGTCCCCGGTTCATGAGTTGATGGGTCGATAGGTAGGGTCCAGGTGTGGAAGCTGCCTTCCTGGCGTCGGTAGCATTGATGCTCAGCACGGAAAACAAGATCGACGGAAAACAAATCAAGGAAGAATGCTGGCTGCAGTGTTGTTCAGGAAAGCAAATTTTAGCCACAGAACTAATGACTATTCTTAGTAACGGACATGCTGAATCAATACATCAAACAATGGCGTTAAGTAGAGAGATGCATTATGGACTTAGTTGAAATGGACACACAGGAATTTATTGATACTTTTTTAGAAAAAAATATTCAATTTATTGCCGCACAACTTTATAGCTGAGAAACAGGCAAATTACTTGAAACCAGGCATGGAAAATCATTTACATTCATTTCATGCATTCATTTACATTCATTTGCCTATAACTTTTTTCATCAACAGCATTCCGCAAAACGATATGTGGAGATTTAGTAGGTTTTGCTACTAGCTACAACTTTTGTTCATAACTCAAATCTGTATCTCTTATGCATAACGAATTAGAGCGGGCAGAACTTGTTACTGTTTTCCAGTGAATGTAGAATACATTAACTGAAAAACAGTAGTGGTTTCTGTTCGCTCTGGTTCGTCATGCGTAAGAGATACGGATTTGAAATGTTAACAAAACTTGTAGCTAATAACAAAACCTATAAAAGTCCCGAACATCATTTTGCAGAATTCTGTTGATGAAAAAAGTTAGGGGCAAATGAATGTAAATGAATGCACGAAATGAATGCAAATGATTTTCCATGCCTGCTTGAAACACGTCAAAAGCAATTTGAAAGCTATAGAATGATCATAATCTGTGATTTTTCGGAGAATTATTCTTTCGTTGTGCAGTATGCAGTTCAAGGCTATTCACCCATGTGCTATTTATTTTAAAGACGAAGAATCGAACGATTTGAAATTTACTAGTTTTATTGCAATTGCTGATTTCACTAAACATAATCATGTCGCAGTTCGTTTATTTCTTATGCATTGTCTAGCGTTCATAAAATGTAAATTGCCAGGCTTACAACAGATTTACTTTTTCTCAGATGGATCAGGAATGCCAGTATAAAAATAAGATGACCGCTTTTAATTTATGCAACATGCAAAAAGATTTTGGCATTGCTGCCGAGTGGAATTTTTTCGCAACTTGTCATGGAAAGGGCCCTTGTGATGCTTTGGGAGGAGTATTGAAACGAAACGCTGCGAAAGCGAGTTTGCAAGGCCACCATATAACAACGGCCCAAGAACTTTATTCATGGGTCATTTCTAAGCACTATCACTATCACTATCACTAACACTATCAGTTTTTTTTTCGGAATCCGATTACAATAAAATGGAAAGAAAATTGAAAAACCGTTATATACGTGTGAACCAAATTTTGGGGACACAGTCATTCCATAGTTTTAAGCTTCAAAACGAAAAGTATATTATTGTCAAACGGTATTCATTTTCAACGGAAGAAAAATTTGTGGAATTGTAATTAAAGAAAATAAATGTTTTATGTTTTACTTATTTTTCTTCGACCTCGTCATTATTTGTAGCATTTAAGTACTTCTCCCAGAATTTTGATACCAAAATTAATAATGTCATACTGGGGTCTGTTTTAAAGCCACGAAGACTTCAATGGGGGAGAGGAGTCCAGCCAAAGTATACGCTTGGTAAAAATGTTTTAAAATTTTAGTAAAGTATACAATGTATACAAGTTCCAGGGTCATCTTAAAACCACAACACTCCAGGACAAAATACTATACGATTAAGTTTTCGTTTGGTATGTAGGATGAACAACAAAGATACGGGATAATTCATATAGTTTCTACCAGATACAGACAATTGCATAGCAATTCGAACTCCCGAACAATCAACAAATTCTTGACCAGCCTCATTCTATCATTACATATTGAAATTTCTTTCTTCCTTCAAATTCACTTGTTAGCAAACATATGATCGAAGATCTGATTACTATTTGTATTGGTTGAAATAACAGCTTCCACTATTGCCTAAAACTACAAATTAACAAAATGGGGCGATTTATTCTACATACTCAAGGCCTAGTTGCTTTCCTATTCGGACCCCCCGCATCCTATTCTCCCCACGAGATCAGCCGAAAAATAATATTTCTCTCTATCTCCTTATTATGCTACCTTTCTACATTGATCCGCAAAATTTATCTTGCTTTGTCCGTAATAAGTAACACTTTTCTGTGATAAAATGCTTCATTCTGAGATTAGTTTCCTATCTAAAGTATATTTTGTTTAGGGTTAGAACTTCCATCACGGCCACCTGACTCCATCCCAACGCACTGTCACGGTAAATGGTATTCCCAAATGCCACAACCGAACAAAACAGGACACAGCCATAACGAAAGACCCTGTTCGAAAATGAAGCAATACATAAATTATGTGTTATTCATTCAGTGATAATTATTGAATGAAAAAACAATTAAAGTCCGTCACGCACGTGGCTAAAAAAATAATGAAAAGAATGTGTGATACCATCACTTCGGGCCACTGTCTTGGTCTCCTATGCAGGTATACAGCATGAAATCAAGCTCTCCCACCATCGGAAAGGTGCTTTAAGAATGGCCTACGGGAGGGGTTTTCATGTATGTATCATAATTGAAATTAAAATTGATCCCCAACACAAATTATTAATGTTTTTTTTCATGTCATGTCATGTCATTTCTGCTCTAACAACATGCTACGGGGCAAGAGTGCCACTCTTATGGGGCAAAACGACCATTCGCCTAAAATTAAGTGAAACAGATTAATGTTTATTTATGAACAATAATTTACTATTCTTTAGCATGCCAGCAACAGTTTTAATTCTTTATTCCAAAAAAATAATTGAAATTAAAATATTTTATTATAGCAAACAACATCAAATCAATCCATGATTTCGGCGTTTCAATGCGTTATGCCGAGTTTAGAATCCGTAGGCCGAGTTTGCAGTATTAGACTTTTAACAATATCTCAACAATTTGTTTCTCTTTATCAAATCTTACGGTACGTAAGGAAAGGAAAATAAATTTGAAAGCCATCTGTAATAATAACATTCCGTTTGGTGCACTACGCTAGATTAAGAAATACTAAGTGCGGGTTGTGATTAATAGGCCGGAAATAAGGCAGTTAACCCTACAAGACATAACAACCATGTGCTGTCAAAAAATTCAAATGGAAATCATTTTTGTTACTATTTTATACAGTTCGTTTTGCATAATCTTACGAACACAATGCATATCGGAATCATGAATGCCCAATTGTGTAAATTTCTTAACAATTTTGTATAATTTTATACATAAATGTACGGGTGGCACTCTTGCCCCGTATAAAGAATATAATGTTTGATTAATTAACGAAAATTTTAATCAACCATCAATAGTGACGTCTCAATGCAAAAATAGTGAAAAAATAAATTGGGAACTCAAAAATCCTTATTTTACTATGCCTTATTCTTATAAAAAATCGCTTTTCAACACATCAACACAAAATGATTTTTTGTATTTGTCTTAAGACTTTGTTGCAAAACTTTCTAGAATGCTTCATAAGAATACCATGCATAGATTCATGGTGAGTTAGCATTAAAAATGTCTTCTATTTCAAAATAATATTTATATTGAGCGTGGCACTCTCGTCCCTTTTAAGTAGTAGGGTATAACAGTCCATAGTTCCCTTATTTGTAACCTGCATTAAAAATGGCACCGAAATCCAAAATTTCATCAATTTCAATTGGTACACTGGAACTATTTTAAATAAGTGCGATTACATTAGTAAAAATCACCGTCTTGCCACCCCTCAGTGGGACTTCGTATGGAAGCGAGCTGTCAATTTGTTAGTTTAGTGTCAAACAGTCAATGAAGTTATTTTGCCTTAAATCTGGATTTAAAAATCGAGATGAAAGTCTATGGGTTCGAAAGAAATATCATTGTGATCAGAAAACGAAGCTCCATCAGATTAAAAACCGATATATATTTTTTTAATAAGATAAACCAATTTAGAGTCTGGGAGCCAGCTGCTTTAAAAATCCACCACAAACGACACACCTAATAATAAAAGATGGTTTCATATTACCTACAAAAAAAATTACCTCATAAAGTCCAAGATCCCTTAGGATTCGCTTCTCCCAGTGAGGACATCCTTTGATAGGTTTGATCCGGCGAACTCGGAAAAGCTTCGATGACTCGTTTGTTTCCGGAAGCGAATGTGCATTGCTTTCCCTTAAAACCATTCATTATTATGTAAGATTTGGACATTAGTTACTTACTTACCTCGGATAGTAGATTATGTTGTGCATCTTTACTCCATCCTTGTAGAGAAACTTTTTGTTATGCTTGCCATAGTTTCGCACCCACAACGATGATTTGTACTGATTAACACAAGCCGTTAAAACACTTTTGAGCATCCTTGAGGTCTTGTAGAAAGGAAAGGTTTAAAATATACGCAATGCCGGATAAAGTTTTAAGTAAAAAATGTGCTGCTTTTCGTAAAGCAAGGTGTAATATTGATCGAATCAAAATTCAAAACATAAAACATAAATGTCAAAAACATACATATCCTAGGGGTCCAACAGTATGTTATAGCTATTGTGTCGTAGTAATTAAAGAGCCTGAATTTATAAAGAGGCGACATCTTATCCATTTGACAGGACCTGGTCTTCTGCTCGATTGGAATCCCGCATAAACGCGAACCATAAATTGACCTTACCTGAAATGGTTAAAAATTGTTTATAATCCCTGCTAAACTTTAACTGAAATGGTTATGGAACTTTACATGAACGTTTAATGATAAAGTTTCAACCTTATGTATTATGGTTTTTTGGAACTGGATCTTACAAATAATGGGTTGTTAAGAACCATTACCATTCCAAATTCTTGTTTTCTCCATACATTTTCAGAAAGAGAACTATATAAGAACGTTTTTACTTATGATTTGAGAACATTAATGGTAATGGTTATGGTAGTCAGTAAGGTCCAGTAATGGTTTTGTATTATCGCTCAACTTTACGTGGAATATAACGTGAATTGGTAATCAGTAAATTACAGGCAACCAATTCGCGATATATTCCACATAAAGTTGATCGATGTTACAAAACCATTCGTGGACCTTACTGACTACCATAACCATTACCATTAAAGTTCTCAAACCATAAGTTAAAAGGTTCTACGTTCTAATATAGTTCTCTTTCCGAAAATGTATGGAGAAAACAAGCATTTGGAACGGTAATGGTTCTTAACAACCCATTATTTGTAAGGTCCATTTCCAAAAAACCATAATACATAAGGTTGAAACTTTATCATTAAACGTTCATGTAAAGTTCCATAACCATTTCAGTTAAAGTTTAGCAGGGATTATAAACAATTTTTAACCATTTTAGGTAAGGTCAATTTATGGTTCGCGTTTAAGCCTGGTACGCAGCTGAAAAGTAATGACGTTTTTATGTGCTACCGGATAGGACACGGAATGCAAAAGAAATTACTTTTCCTCAGCATTTCTTGACCCAGTACGCAGTTCAAAAGAAATCGGTAAAGGAAAGATCGATTACATTAGTATCGTGATCGACATGAAGGTGGCGCATTCTGAATGCAATTTCACTTTCCTTGCGGAATAATGGTCTGATCAATTATTCCGTTAGGTAATGTTGGCGTTTATTGCAAAACTGATGTTTTGGATGCATTTAAACAACATAAACACTAATAAGTGTTGATTTTACAATTTGACCACACCTCCCTATAATCTCAAAATTTAGCAGACTATAGCTGTCAAATTTTCTTTTGGGAAAAATGCTCAAAAATTACTTTTCCGTTTTCTTTTCAGCTGCGTACCAGGCTTTATGCGGGATGACTTTTCCAATGACTTTGACAGACAATCGATTGTTTGAATTTTGACATGTCTTCTCTTTGTAAATTCAGGCTCTTTAGTAGTAATGTAGTACAAAAAATAATGATTTTTATCAGGTAGTTTTATGTGCAGCTTTATGCCGGTCATGCATAAGTTTCAATAGAAATCAAATGCTTAGATGCGAGCTTAGGTGTATAAACTCATCATGCGCTCCAGGAAACAAATAAATAAATGTAAACAAGAGTGACTTTTTCAACTTTAAAGACTTATTTATTTTCCGACGTCTTGTTCAATCCCTATTATGAGGCTTTTTATTTAGCGTGTATTATTTGACAATCATACTTTGCATAAACGATTGACAGGTGACAGTTGATGTTCAATCCATTTTATTGTAGAAAAGCATTGACCGCAAGTGAAAAAAATTCGCAAGTGCGAGGAAAATCGTGCTTTTCGTGAAAATTGTTGAAATAAATTGGTGCCCCACAACTTTCCCAAAATGTTGGACATGGAAAACATCCAACTGCCCAAGCTAGAGAATGATCAAAAGTCATACGCCGGCATACCGGAGGCAGTGTTTGTGGTAAGTAACAAATTTGGTCTTTTTTCGCTTAGTGACTTAAAAGCGCTTCGTTCGCTTTATATCGTAGGAGGATGTTGAGGCATTTATGAAGCAATCTGGAAGCGAGGAAAATGTCGAAAAGGTTCTGAAAAGCCTTGACGAGCAGCACAGTAAATACAAATTTATGGAATTCAACATCATCTCACGGAAGCGTCGTTTGCGACAGCAGATTCCGGATCTGGCCAAAAGCCTGGAAATGATCAAGATCCTGAAGAACCAATCCGAAGAACAGGAAACGCGTTTCCTTCTGAGTGAACAGGTATTCGTCAAAACCCGAGTGCCACCTACGAAAACTGTCTGCCTGTGGTTGGGTGCAAATGTCATGCTCGAATACCCGCTGGATGAAGCTGAAGAGTTACTCAAGCAAAACAAGCATTCGGCTGAGGTGAACCTTAAGTGTCTGGAGCATGATCAGGATTTCTTACGTGATCAGATTACTACTACCGAAGTGAACATGGCCCGGGTTCATAATTACGATGTGAAAAAGCGTCAGGCGAAGAAAGCCGCCGAGGAAAAGTAAACGACATTATCCGAAAGAGATTTTGCTTGGTCCATCTTGCGCAATGTGCATATTGCGTATACAACAATATTTTTAAGGTTGAATCGTTTGCGGTTTAATAAATATTTGCAAAATTCAGTTTTTAATGCATTTGAAGAAAATGCTTCCTTTAATGGCCATCGAGTGATTAAGGGTAATGGGAGACTAACTTGGGTTTCTATAGCATTTTTCTGTATTTATTTCATTTATCTTACTTTTTTGACTAGACTTCTATAGAATGCCATTATGTGTCTTAGTCGAAGGTAAATTTAATTGTAAGTTATCAAGGAATGTTTGTTCTTCACATTTATCTAAATGCTCGCGCACTTGTACTATAAGCTACTCATTTGATTATTCACGTATATCAGTGTTCCAATAGTTTCAAAACCATTTTCAACAAACTTGATATGGTTCTCTACACCTGCCAATGTTTATTTTAAACATATGTCCAAAACAATAGTAGTATTGCCTAGTATTATAGCATTCAATGCAAATATGAAAGTAGGTTCGGAAATCCAACTAAGAACTTTGAATGATTACTGCGCAACTAATTCTTTTGGATCGGATTCGGCATTTTCTGGCGTCTTCGCTACCGCTCCCGTTTCACCAGAATCAACGTTGTTAGTCGTTTCTTTGTCCGCATTCACCTTACTGGATGGATTTGTTGCTTCCGTTGAATCCTCATTCGAGCCATCTTGCAGGCCTGTCGAATCGACGGCATTTCCTGATAGAGAATCATCCGACGGTGAAACCGCATTGCCGGTTTCAGTATTGGTGGTGACATTCACCTTCAGTGCATTCATTTCCCGTTTTAGAGTTTCAATCTCGTTCCTGGCATCGTTGAGTTCATTTTCCAGTCTTGCAATTGTATCCTTATCCTTCAGCCTCTCTCCCAGATTATCCAGCAGGTATTCAATTGCATTTTCAGGACGGTCGGAATTACACTTGATCAGCACTTTTGTGATGGCGTCTAGAACTCCTTTTCGGTCTAGATACTTGCGAAAATCCTCCTTGGATCCATCGATCGGCTAAAATCGTGAAATCAATTAAGATTCAATAACAAAAGGTTCAACATTTCTTACCTTAAAGCTGGACATTTTGAACTTTTGGAAATGATGTAAAAATCAATATGTTCAATATACTCACTCAAGTAGTAAAAAAAAAGCGACCTAATTGTTCCCGTAGAGCACACGTTGCATACGGGTTTTCAAATGAGGATAACTGACCTTGAATTCGTCCTTTTGTTGAAAGCTAAACTGGTTATTGTTTCTTATCGCCTTTCACACAATCGCGATTGTTTTTCAAATGGATGATTTTGATAGAATGGCAAAAATATATCTGCAATTTTTGCATGGATCAAAACGTTACTATGCGTTATATTATACCAATGAGTGTACATAGCGAGGGTACACAGATCATGAAAATATTAGCAAACCAAAAAACTACACAGAGAAAAAAAATTACCCTAAATTTAAGTTCTTTTTACTTAATTTTGGGTAATTTTGAGTTTCGCATCCCACTCTCACTTTTTGTTGTTGTCAAAAACGGAACGAGAGATTCGACTTTCTCATGACTATCGTTCAATAAGCTACTAGTGAGTATATGAGATATCCTCAAATTGAGTCAATTTAACTTAATTTTGGGTAGAAAATGCTCACGAGTACACAGCAAAAAAAATGTAGTATCGATCAATGTAATTCAAGCAGATGTATGAAATAATTATGTAATAACAAAAAGTAGATACAATATTACATCAATGAATGTAATTTTGTTCGCAAAATCGATGTCCATTGTACAACCAACAATCAATACGAAACTAACGATTTTAAATTGGCTCACCACTTTAGTAGCCTATTGGTCCCAAGCAAACGATTAACGTACCCTATTCTAGTTGAAATTCTATTACTACACTATGTTTGTTTTGATTCGCTATGAAAGTTTGACAGATAACATCAGGGGTGTGTGGATTCATGCAGAACATGCAGGGGTGAGTGAAATAGCTTGGGACTGCTTGGGACCGTTGTTCTGGTACTCAAGCATGGGAAAATTCATTCACTCGCGCGAGCACCACAGAATCCATATAGCCATCCTCGCCTACAAACAGATTGTCGAACGAGTGTAAATTCTTCCTACCAAGTGACTCTGCAGATCGACTCAGAACTGATAGCAGTAGAAGGAAAGAAGGATAAACTGAAAGGCAGCCGAACAATTTTCTCTACACACAAATAACAAAAATTGTTGCTATAAAAATAATGCATAATCAAATTAAAAGTTTCCCAAAATTCGTAGTTTCAACTATGAAAGTTTTCAAAATTAAACTTATATTTTTGGTTTAAAAATGTTTCTTTCACTTTCGACTTGTAATTTTAAAAGTGATTTTTTTTAAATAAAAGTTGTAAAACTGTCAAAATACCTCTTCATTGAGTAGTTTTTGACAGTACTGGACTTCCGTTTCCCGCTAAAAATGACATGGGAAATAAAAAATAAAACAAAACCAGCTGTGAGAACTTGCAGGAGTAGCAGCAGTGTATTCTATTTTTTCATATATTTCATCCGCCGGCACGATAGTTTCCCTTCTTTACGATACGAATAATAATATGGAGGCACCCGCGGGGACACTACCGAGTGGAAGGATACTCCAGTTGCCGGATTTGGAGGTAAGTTGATGAAATTTTTGAAGACTTTCGATCTTGCTTCCGATTTGACTAATTGATGTGTTTTGATCTTCAGCAGCCTCGTCAGTCTTGCCGGAAAGGAAAGCTACTCCCACACACAAAAAATTATCGTTAATAAAATTAAAAAAACCATTGATAGAATTAAAAGTTTGCGTTGGTTCTTTTTGGTAGAAAGTCTTTTGCATTCAAAACAAAAGTCGGCCAACTGTCAATTCAAAAGTAGCTCATTCTTTAATTTTAAAAGTTGAAACTTTCAATACGAATTGTAGAACTGTCAATCTAATAGCCTATGGTTTTTAAATTTACTCATTAAAGGTTTTAATTTAAAAGATGTGCATTTTTATCGCAATGGTGTACGTTTTCATCTCAAATATTATTTATTGCTTGAGAAAAAGGAACACATACATATTTTATTTAATTCATTTGAGTTTATTAAAATTTTCAGTCATCACTGAAAGGCCACTGCATTATGGAATCTTCCATTGGAAGTATTTTACACTAATGGTACAATTGATATCTGAATAATTACTTCCTGATGGGCTCGGTGTGGAGACGTGCTTGAAGAAAAGTTCCTGCTTAATGGTGATGGTTGATGCACACAAAGAACAAAAATTGTTCCTATAAAAATAATGAAATTTCAATTTAAAAGTTTCTCCAATTTCGTAGTTTTAACAACGAAAATATTCAAAATCAAAACAGTTTTTTCGGATTAAAAGTGTTTCTTTCAATTTCAACTTGTAATTTCAAAAGTTATTTTTTTTAAATAAAAGTCGCAGATCTTTCAAAACTTCCTCGTCATTGCGAAGATTTTAGCATCACTTGACCTTCGTTTGCCTCTTAATTTGAAAGCGTGAAAAATAAACCATATTGCTGTGTTTTCTACGTTTCCACATTACTCTTCCGTCGGTTTCTCTTTCGAACTGGAATCGGTTCCCAAAAAGTGGTACGCCACCGCTAATTCATTTTCATCGGATTGCAGGTAATCGTCAAAGCAGCCAACGGAGGGAAGCAATGTTAGATGAAACATAAACTCTATCATAACATGGAGACAATGATGGCGTGCTGGAATTGACGGTAATTTGGTATAATTTTCAATGAATTTCCGATTGTTCTAATTGAGATGTTTTAATTTTCAGCAGCCTCAGTCTTGCCGGAAAGGAAGGTTAGGGTACGGCCAGGGTAGACGCGACGCGACCAATTCAAAAGAATCTTATTATTTATTATTATTCCTTGCGTGAGTCGCATCGCATCGCGTCGCGTGTCGCGCCTACCCTGGCCACGGCCTTACTCCCACCTCGACTCCCACCCCCATCAAGATGCCACTTTCATTCAAGTACCCCCACACCGAGTCCGTCAGGAGCAAATTATTCCAGCTTTGATCAACAATCTTTAAAATAATACAATTCATACTGTAAAAGCATCTGCTGCTTTGTAATGGACAATATAATTATTATAAAAAATAAATTGGAATAAAAGGAATTTCCCTGGTTATTTCTTTTAAAAAATAAAAGTAATTGATTTAAAATTAATTCAAATTTAAGATAAAAACGTATGAAATTGCGATTAAAATGCTTATCATTTGAATTAAAATTTGTTATACGTCAATTTAAAAACTATAGGTTTCAGTTTGACAGTTCTACAATTCGATTTGAAAGTTTCAACTTTTAAAAGTAGAAAGAGAGCTACTTTTGAATTGACAGTTAGGGGACTTTAGTTTTGAATGCTAAATACTTTCTACCAAAAAGAACCAACGCTAACTTTTAATTTTACTGATGGTTTTTTAAAATTTATTAACGATTATTTTTTGTGTGTATCTATTACTCAAATCATATAATTAATTAATAAGAGCAACCGTAACGGTACGCTGCTAAACTCATTTTAGCAGCCCTCATCATAGCGCAGCTACCGTATCGGGGGTTGCCATACGAGTAACTAAAATAGTAGTCGGCTTCTCGGTGAGAAGCGCGTTACCAAATTTAGCAGCGCGATAGCAGCGCGGGAGAAAGGTTGCTATTCGTAGAAATGTCAAAATGCTCACTACCGGTACGGACTACGGCGAGTAAATTGATAACTGCGATAGCAGCGACCGGTGTGGAGAAGAGTGACTAAACTAAAATGAGAGCGCTGTGCGCTGTTAAAATAGTCGCTCAAATGACAACGACCGTTACGGTTGCTCTAACTGTGGAAGCGAGTGTGGAAGTGCATCTAGAACACTAAGTTGAGAGCATGCAATTGGCGTCTTGCAGTGAAACTTTTCCAAGCTTTCGCCACCTACATTTCGAAGTGAGAACTACTAGAAGGAGGATAGTTTCCAAATTCTCCAAGTAAAACAGACGATTTTTGGGGCATATCGGTACATAAAGAAAAACTAATAATTTCCGGTGGAAACTTTTGCTTGAATCGTGTAAGAAAACGTGTTTGCAAACTAACTGTTATTATTTCGGTATGGATCGGACGAGGGATCGGAGATATTTTCATGGAAAATTATGCATAACAAGTTTGCACCCACAGGTAGAGGTTATCTCCTGCGCAGCTGCATTTTTCGGAAAATGGTGAATATGTGCGATTTCCACTAGGATGAAAGTGGAAATTAGGTGAATTTACGTAGGAAAGATTGTATCATGCTGGTGATAATGGAGAAATGGTTGTATAGGACGGCAATATTCAATAAATGTTCATTTTAGTCTTTTTTTAGGTAAACATATTGATACTCATAGCCGGCGCCGGTGGTGTAGTGGTAAGCGTGACTGCTTTCTAACACCCCAATGGGTTTGGGTTCAATCCCAGCCGAGGTCGGTGGGATTTTTCTGAGGCATAAAAATGTCTGGTCACGTCTTCCTTCGGAAAGGGAAGTAAAGCCGTTGGTCCCGGCCCATGTGTGTTGTGAATGGGTGCGACATCCTACGCAGGTGTGGAAGCTGCCTTCCTGCACATTCGGTTGTCGTCAATGGATGGCAATCGATGTCCGTCGGTGATTGGCACTAGATTGCGGAACAGAGACCGACGTTAAATAAAGGAAAAAGAAGATATTGATACTCAAAATTTTCGACAGAAAACGCAACGGAACTTGATTTACTCAACACGCACCATACTATAAAATGGTGCTCGATGGTTTATAAAGTGATAACAAGATGACAAATCATCTTTATTTTGAGTAATTGAGCAATTTACTTCTGTTTACATCATATGTATGATGCAGCATTGATGGAGCTGTGAAATGAAATGAATATATCTCATGAAAGTTCATCTGGAAAAGTCAAAGATGCACATCAGTCTGATCGTGAAAACATTTTCTTCTTCAATTCGAATGCCTTTTTTTTCAACTTCGGTCTGGTCACGACAATATTGGAAGGATTCTACGCAGGCTTGATGAATATTATGATTTAATGCTAATCTTCACGAATTTTATATGCAGTCTGTCAACATTATCATCATCATGCAGTGGTGACATCTGTGTCGAGCTTTTACGGCAATCTCCCAATAAGCTTATATGTGATATACAAATAAGCTTGAAATGCGAAGAAGAAGAAGAAGAAGAAGAACATGTAAGAAATTATCAGGGCGTATGATGTTTTATTCTCAATTTCACGACAAAGAAATTTTTTTTTGAGTTTTTTAGTGATGCATGATGATAGATTGCACTATTAACTATATGTAAAGCTTAAACTAATAAAATTCCACACATTTTTATCGACGAATTTCCATGTGAAATTCCACATGATTTTCATGTGACCACACATAAACAGAATCCACCCAGAAGCACACATGAAATTTATGAGTCAAATGAATACTATGTGAGGTTACACATGGCTTTTATGTGTACACATATTAAGTATGTGTCCGACACATAGATATCATTTGTTGTTCACATTGCAAAAATTCATGTGTGGGACACATGAAAACTATCTTTGAAATTTTAGCAGTGATAAAATCATCCAGAAAATGGAAAGTCGTGAAATAGGATTAATTTTTAGGTTATCAAAACTCGGAAGCGATTTTCTCGATATGGTCATTTTGGAGCTACGCCATTTTCAAATGTTAGTCTAGATTTATCTTATGTCGTTTTCGTTTTTACTACACTACACCGGTGTAGTGTAAGCAGCAATAAGTGCGAGTCATTGACAGTTCATCATCATTTGTTTGTAAACAAAGGTGCAACCGATAGCTACACCCTAAATTTTTTCGGTGTTCGGCAGTGTAGCACCGGTGTAGCTACACCGCAAAAACGAAAACGACATTATACAGTGCGTTACGCACTGAACGTCAATTGATTTTGTTTCAACTACTGGTGCATCACTGTGGCCGATATGTCATCCATCAAGACCGTCACCATATCGAACCGATCAAAGTTCAAAACATAAAAGTAAATTTACTAATAGTTTATCTGGTATTAATGCCCGTTCCTGTTATTTTCTTTGTGATTTTCATGTTAATACTTTGCTAGCTTATAGTACAAGCGTAAAATGTTTCTGTGAACGACTGTTTGAACACGAAAATATGTGAACCATTTTCGGTGAAGGCTCAATTTGTTTGTAAAAAAAAGTACCAAAACTTCTACGCTGTAAGGACGTCATCTTCTGATAGCTGCATAAAGAAGAGTATATTGGATAAATAAAATGCAGCCCACAAATTTCCGAAATCCGGTTCTCAACGAACCCAGGATTTTTGGAGGCCAGTATAGTTTTAACACACCAGCTGGCGTTGTGGCGTCTAGTCAAGCACCTCCGATTCCGCCGAGGCCGCTGCAACAGTCTGGCCATGTAGGAGCATTCGGAAGTGGCTTCGGGAACCGTTTTGGTGCTCCCTCTTATGGGTACTCTGGTTTCGGGGGTGGATACGGTGGTTTTGGTTCCTTTGGAAGCTACGGTGGCGGTTACAGTGGTTATGGCAGTGGTGGCATGTATGGAAATAGCTATGGTATGGGATCAACTGCTTTTCCGGAACATAGGTAAACCAAAAAGTTCGGCATTTGGTTAAAGTATGTTTGTGCTAATATACCATTTTATTACTCAGATTTATCCAGCTCGCCGAAGAGAGTTCGAGACCTGCTTTTCAAAATATTGAATCTTTAGTGGGAGCTATTGGAAACATAGCCGCTATGCTGGATTCCACATTTTTCGCACTGACTAGCTCTTTTAGAGCTGTGCTAGGAGTAGCAGCTAACTTTGCCCATCTACGAGGAGTTTTTGCACAATTTTGGACATCATTTGCTCTGTTCCGATGGGCAATATGGGCTTATAGAAAGTTTGTGCAACTGTTATTATTATTAAAAGTACAATAATATAATGATACTTAAACTTTACAGGATTTTGTATTGGTTAAGAATAACTAAAACCAACCCTAGTACCGCAAGCTTCAACGAGGCTTTCAAAATTGCAGAAGCTGATAAACAAGCAGTGATACAAACGAAAGGATCGTCAATGCCCGTTATTCTATTCTTAGGATTCATCATGTCTGCACCTTACCTACTGATGAAGCTTTTTGGAAATACTGACAGCACTGATCAAGGTAATCAAAAACACAAGTTGATTACTGGGTTTTTTTTTCTCTACAAAACTATTTTATAACACAGTAAAAAATCCTCGCAACTGGACCAGTCCTGTAGAAGCGGTGGCCATTTACAGCTTCGACGCCTCTAATTCAAATGAATTGACGATTCGAGCGGGACAAACGGTTCTCATTGCACCGAGAGCGGTACAGGTCGAACAAAATTTACTTAATACTGGTTGGGTACTTGCTACGGTAGACAACAAGGTATGTGGTGTGATTCCGGTGAATTATATACAAGGTTCTAAACAACAACAGCAGCAACAACCATCCAATGAGGTAAAACTACATTCCAACGAAGCAGGTCAGTTAGAAACTGATGCCTAAACCCTCTTCAGAGAGGTTGACATTTAAGTTTAAGAAATATTGAACCTGCCGGAAACCTTAATTTTCGTTGAACATCAGTAATATTAAAATTGGCACTTCTTTTACTTTTCACTACAAATCTATACTATTCTGGTATCATGTATGCAATTTTACAAGTATAAAGAGCTAGAATATTTAGTATTAAATTTTGGCAGCAATTTGCAAAGCATCATAAATGCCGAGGGGCTGTGCATAAAATACGTAGACAGTTTTTGTTGGAGTAGACCCCCTAACCTGCGTAGACAGTTGCTCATACACATTTTTGCCCCCCTAACCTGCGTAGACAGTTGCTCATACACATTGTTCCCTAAACATGCCTTAAACCCCCTCCCTTGTTTGCGTAATTTATGAACAGGCCTCTAACTCAAATTAATTTATAATGATCAATATGAACAAGTAATTTTTTTGCGATGAACTATCGTTAACGGAGTGACTTGCAAAAAATGTTGGAGTAAGTTGAGTCAACAACAGTGATGGATCGCTTTTTTGGGGCTTTTTAATGATTATAGAATGCTAACGTAAAATCCAGTTAGCCCATCGAAAAATAGATAGTTTAATGCTATTAATCTTCCTATAAAAATGCAAAACCCCCGCACCTTAAAGCCACACTCTGTGTTTTCACTGAAGGTGCACTTGAGAGCGCTCTGTTGTGCGGAAATTTTAAATTTTGTTGAGTTGATTTATAACACTAAACTACCTATTTTAAGATGGGTTAACTGAAAATTCAATTGAATTTACGTTAGCATAAAAAGTCCCAAACGATCGATCCATCACTGCCTACGAAGTTTGAGAAAATCTGCCTCTAAAAGTATAAGCCACATCGTTTCCGGTACGTTGCCTATGGTGCTGGGTCACTTAAAGATTTTCGTTCAATCTATAAATTCATTGGTAAAAAAAAACATTATTCAATTCGACGTCGCTGATGCACATGTAATTAATACTAATTGGTTTATCCTCATCCTGCAATATTTTTATTTGTGATACGGTTTGTTTTGGTGGATGAATAAAGTCGGATGGGAGGGCTGAATATGTTAGTATCAATTAAAACAAAAGTTGTGAACATCCTTATAAAGGTACGGGAATAATCTGTAGGGATTTTTCTGTTAATGATTTATCATTGCTCAAAATTTAGGTACACAGAAAGGTGAGTACATATAGGTGTTCTAGTGTGTCGAATTCATGATTCAGCCTTGTTGGATTTTTGTATGGAGAAGCGACCGAGTTTGTTTAAAATTTGATATGTTGATGATGATGATATAGAACTATCACTCACCGTCCAGAATGCAGATTTAGGTGGAAGGATATGTTTTGAGCCTGAAATTGAAACTTTAGTCTAAAAGTCTCTTGTACAAAGTTGTACCTTATAGTTAGGTCCTCATTTTTATGACAATGAATTCTTTAGTAGTTTATTTATTTATTTGTTATGTTTGCATCAACAGACTAAAAATAGTCCCAATGATGTGTTGTAAAAAAAGTACAGATTATACAGACTACATATACTACAGTTACAAATGAAAATAACTAGGAAAGCATTGTCAAGCTACTAAAAATGTATAAGCCTTAAATTTTACTCTTAGCTGTTGGGCGTCAAGCGCCTTTGGTTAGCAAAAACGGCAGAGAATCTTCGGCGAAGCATATTCCGTGTCAAGTGGAAATCGAACAAGCCGTAAATAGCGCTCCCTAAGCTATAATTAGTTCGAAGAAGTGGAAGTCTCCGCATAAGACTGTTGCGTAGTGATCGAGGTTCAACATTAATGTTCACTTGTTGTAGAATTGCTTCGCAGTCGATTCTTCCTTGCAGAGTATCGGCGACGGTTAAGGCTCTGCAAACATCTCTTCGGATACGTAAGGGCTCGACATTGATCAATTGGCAGCGATTCTCGTTGCTTGGAAGACGAAGTGGGTATCTCCAAGTGAGCTTACGGAGCGCGAAGCGAAGAAAACGTCGTTGCACAGATTCAACTCGCTCGGCCCCATTATTGTAGTTCTGGCTCCAGACTGCAGAGTAGTATTCCAACGTAGATCGTACGAGAGAGCAATAGAGCGATTTCAAGCAGTAAATGTCTGTGAAGTTTTTAGTAATCTTGAAGACAAAGCCAAGAGTTCTGGACGCTTTGTCGACGACATACGATATATGGTGTGAGTATGTCAGCTTTGAGTCTAGAAAAAACGCCTAAGTCTTTCACGCAATGCACCCGTTCGATAGTCGTGCCTAGTAGTTTGTAGTTGAAAATAATCGGTTGTTTCTTGCGTGAGAAAGTAATGACTGTACACTTAGCTGGGTTGACCACCAGTCGGTTTAGACTACACCAGTCAGCAAAGATGTCAATCTGATTTTGAAGAGAACGGCATTCGGCGAGTGAGGGGATGCGGAGAAAAACTTTCAGATCGTCTGCAAACGATAATCGTGGCCCTGATAACATGGTGAACGTCGTCGAAGTAAAGGAGAAATACCAATGGTCCCAGATGGCTACCCTGAGGTATACCGGACTTTGCGCAGAAGCTAGCTGAGCGACAAGTACCCAAAGCTACTGTCAGTTATTATTGTTATCATTAATCAAAAATCTAACTTTTTTGTTTGAAGAAATTAAGGTATATATTTTTCGGCAAAGTTATAGCTGAGCTAATTTCAAGCAACTTTTTTTTATCTTTAAATTGACCAATTTAGAGCTATTTCCTTGAATTCAGTTAGGGTGTCTCTAAAAAAAAACAGTTGTTTTGCTCTATTTTTCTTATTTCAAATTTTTCAGCAAAGATGTCTTGCAATAACTTTTAATCTTTTAAAGGCGCAAATTTTTGCTGCACAGAGCTTGTCGATGTATTTCGCTAGCAGATATCTCAGATGATGAGTCTATTAAATATCCATCATTCATTCAAAGTGTTTTTTATGTTACTTCATACGCGAAGTTAACGATTTTCAGAGTTGGTTGGAAATGCTAACATGAAGCTTTAGTGTGATGATTTATTAGCTAGAGAATGATCTTTAGAAGAGTGTAGGTGGATAGTTCCGTTAGAGTACGGCAGTATGAAAATTGAATAGAAGTTGAAAATGAGCGAAGGGCCATTAAAGCGACAGTTTTCAAGATAGACGCACATTTTTGCCTAGCCCGTACGATGTACGCGGGGACTTGAAGTATGTCTCCAAGTCCACAGGCAAAAATGTGCGTCCCTCTTGTTGCTCATAAACTGACTGCGGCTGTGGAATAGTTCTAGCGACGTTTTCATCACTACCTAAAGCCCCACGTCGCGAGAGCATTTCCAGTCGATGGTGTGTTATAATGCAGTTCTTCTTTACCCAACTATTGTGTTGCTCCTCTCGTCATGACCAACGTGATCATCTCAGAGAGAAAGCAGTAGGGTGGTTGTTGCGTGCTGTACCATCATCAGCATTGTTGACGGCTACTCCCGCCTTGAGTTGTTACATTCAAAGTGTTTTTTATGTTACTTCATACGCGAAGTTAACGATTTTCAGAGTTGGTTGGAAATGCTAACATGAAGCTTTAGTGTGATGATTTATTAGCTAGAGAATGATCTTTAGAAGAGTGTAGGTGGATAGTTCCGTTAGAGTACGGCAGTATGAAAATTGAATAGAAGTTGAAAATGAGCGAAGGGCCATTAAAGCGACAGTTTTCAAGATAGACGCACATTTTTGCCTAGCTCGTACGATGTACGCGGGGACTTGAAGTATGTCTCCAAGTCCACAGGCAAAAATGTGCGTCCTCACAAAAAAACATCGACTAGCAAAAATTTGCTTCCGCGGTTCTCGGTGGTACTGATTCGGTTTATATACTCCCTCCGCTAGAAGAGTACTCTTTTTTATCGCTACTTATCGTTGATAGCGCTCTTCAAGCACAGACAAAACACGTTCCGGGTGTTTCCGTTCGCAAATGACCTCCCACTCCGTGGGAGAAGTCCGCCGCGTTTAAACGCTTCCGCAAACACATGGTCGGGGATTTCGAGCGGTACACCGACCTCGAGAAAACTTTTAAGGGCTTGATTAAAGCCAAAAAATGCGGCTACTGGCGTCGGTTCGTCGATGGTTTGTCGCGAGAGACTTCCATGAGAACATTCTGGAATGTTGGCAGGAGAATGCGAAACGCGTCATCACCGGTCAACGAAGACAAGGAGTACTCAAACAGTTGGATATTCAGCTTCGCGCGGAAAGTTTTCCCGGATTCGGTGTCGGTTCAAACCTACATTCGTGATCGTCCGTCGAGTAGTAACGAAATACATTCCCAGTTTTCGATGGTGGAATTCTCATGTAACAACTCAGCTCTAGGAATGGATAGAATCCTCGATAGAATCAAGTTCAACTTGCTTAAAAATCTCCCAGACGTCGCGAAGAGACGCTTGTTGAACTTATTCAATCAATTTCTGGAGCACAACATTGTTCCGGATGACTGGAGGCAAATAAGAGTTATCGCCGTTCGAAAACCCGCTAAACCCGCGTCGGATTATAACTCGTACCGTCCCATCGCGATGCTGTCCTGTATACGGAAGTTGTTGGAGAAAATGATTCTTTTTCGTCTAGATACGCAATTTTTTATTTCGGAGAGGCAAAGGAACGAGTGACTATCTTGCGTTGTTTTCAATTAAAATTCAACTGGCCTATGCGCAAAAACAGTAATGGGTTCAGTTTTCTTACACATTAAGGGGCTTTTAATTCTGTTTGTATCGATGTCCTTTCGGATAAACTCCACGATAGTGGGCTTTCACCAATTATGAACAACTATTTGGGCAACTTATTGTCTGAGAAATATATGAGCTTTTCTCATGGAAACTCGACAACTTCACGAATTAGTTAAATGGGCTCATGTTTAAGCCCTCTTCTTTATATTTTTTATGTAAAAGATGTTGACGATTGTCTTGATGAAAATTACTCGCTAAGGCAGCTTGCAGATGACGGCGTTGTGACTGTTATAGGGCCAAGTGCACCGGACCTGCAAGGACCATTGCAAGATACCTTGGACATTTTTTCTACTTGGGCTATGAAGCTGGGTATCGAATTCTCTCCGGAGAAAACTGGGTTGGTTGTTTTTTCTAGGAA